TACTTTCAAATCTGATTTTTACCATTCTAAATCTAGTTTCTACCATTCTAATTCTAGTTTTTGCCATTCTTAATCTAGTTTTTAACCATTCTTAATCTAGTTTTTAACCATTCTAATTCTAGTTTTTACCATTCTAAAATTAGTTGTTACCATTCTGAATCTAGTTTCTACCATTCTAATTCTAGTTTTTACCATTCTTAATCTAGTTTTCAACCATTCTAATTCTAGTTTTTACCATTCTTAATCTAGTTTTTAACCATTTTAATTCTTTTTTTTACCATTCCTAATGTAGTTTTTAACCATTCTAATTCTAGTTTTTTACCATTCTTAAATTAGTTTTTAACTTTCAAAATCTAATTTTTACCATTCTTAATCTAGTTTTTACCATTTTGAAATTAGTTTTTGGCCATTCTAAATCTAGTTTTTACAATTTCAAATCTCTTTTTTAGCATTCTAAGTCTAGATTTTACCATTCTGAATTTAGTTTTTACAATTTCAAATCTATTTTTTCCATTTTTTATCTAGTTTTTACCATTCTTAATCTAGTTTTTACCATTCTAAATCTAGTCTTTGACAGGTCAAAAGATTAGCCTGTGATGGGTCAAAAGATTAGCCTGTGATGGGTCAAAAGATCAGCCTATGATAGGTCAAAAGATCAGCCTATGAAAGATCAAAAGATCAGTCTGTAATAGGTCAAAAGATCAGCCTGTAATAGGTCAAAACATCAGCCTGTGATAGGACAAAAGATCAGTCTGTGACAGGACAAAAGATCAATCTGTGATAGGTCAAAAGATCAATCTGTGATAGGACAAAACATCAGCCTGTGATAGGTCAAAACATCAACCTGTGATAGGTCAAAAGATCAGCCTGTGACAGGACAAAAGATCAATCTGTGATAGGTCAAAAGATCAATCTGTGATAGGTCAAAAGATCAATCTGTGATAGGACAAAAGGTCAGTCTGTGATGGGTCAAAAGATCAATCTGTGATAGGTCAAAAGGTCAGCCTGTGACAGGTCAAAAGATCAATCTGTGATAGGTCAAAAGATCAATCTGTGATAGGTCAAAAGATCAATCTGTGATAGGTCAAAAGATCAATCTGTGATAGGTCAAAAGATCAATCTGTGATAGGTCAAAAGATCAATCTGTGATAGGACAAAAGGTCAGCCTGTGATAGGTCAAAAGATCAATCTGTGATAGGTCAAAAGATCAGCCTGTGATAGGTCAAAAGATCAATCTGTGATAGGACAAAAGGTCAGCCTGTGATAGGTCAAAAGATCAGCCTGTGATAGGTCAAAAGATCAATCTGTGATAGGACAAAAGGTCAGTCTGTGATAGGTCAAAAGATCAGCCTGTGATAGGTCAAAAGATCAATCTGTGATAGGACAAAAGGTCAGCCTGTGATAGGTCAAAAGATCAATCTGTGATAGGTCAAAAGATCAGCCTGTGATAGGTCAAAAGATCAGCCTGTGATAGGACAAAAGATCAATCTGTAATAGGTCAAAAGATCAGCCTGTGACAGGACAAAAGGTCAGCCTGTGATAGGACAAAAGATCAATCTATGATAGGTCAAAAGATCAGCTCTATTAGATATTAAATGTCATTATTGTCGGATTCTGATAGAATCAGAAAGACTAAAACAAGATCCCAGTAAACTCGGAGTACGGGAACATATCGCAGGTAAAAAGAATAAATTGTATACAAACCTCAACCCGCATGTTTTATTCAGGGTTTTGAATATGGGTATTTTTTTTTCTTACTTAGTGATGAGTGATTATTATCTTAAAACTGTTATTGTTTAATACTATATACAACTACCATATTTAACCTTTTTACTAATTTACCAGCATGGTGTGATTAATATGGGTAATACACCACAATTACACTGTAAAGTTCAGTTATTTTGTTGAAAGAAGTCAAATCCTTCTCTATTTTAACATCATGGTGTGACAACTGCCGGTAATGTACCAGCTTTTCTATTACTATAGATCTAGGTAAATTTTTTTTATCTATTTTCACTCCAGATTTCCAATAATTTGTTTTTTAATAGATTTGTGAGAATATAAACCGACACGGTTGGAAGACGGAGTGGATAGACGATCAGGGTGTACCTTACGTGTACGGCGGAGATCAGTGGGCAGGCTTCGAGAACATGGAGAGTGTCAAACTAAAGGTAGGAAGAACCTTGACAATGACTTTACATAGCCACTTTGGATCTTGCGGATTTACAAGCTGATTGTTGGTGAAATCTCTTGATAACACCTCCCCGCCCCTACTTCCTCACATAGTCTGTACCCATTACAGTTTGGAAAAGGAGGCTGAGATGATCCGTTATTTATAATTTCAGGCAGAAAATATCAACAAGCGCGATCTGGCCGGTGCGTTCGTCTGGTCCGTAGAAATGGATGATTTTGGTGGAACTTGTGGACGAGGCGAATATCCTCTCCTCTCTACTATAGTAAAAGTTTTACAGCCGTACGGAGGTAAATCTCAGACTGCTCATGCTACCACTACCCAGAGGATTCTACCTAGCTTCGCCCCACAACCCATCGACAAACCAACCCGTGATTACATCAAACATCAAACCAGTGGCCCCAAGAAAATCAGACGACCATTATTCACCCGGGGTCCACACTGGAGGAATAAATGGTACAAAACCCCCAAAAAATCCCGGGACGACCAGAATTCGGGAGAGAATGTCATCGAAAAGAAAACCACACCACGTCATTGGAACGCTCGACCGACTGGAAGACCGAGCAGTAGTCAAGTTATCCAGACTCATACAACACAGCGTCCAGTATTTGATGAACAAACCATCAGGCCGTGGAAAAAGTCCCCGTGGCAAAAACCGGGAACCAAACAGCCGTCTGCAGGTAAATAATTTTTCACTATAACAAAATTACATGTCTGTCTTAATTGTAATCTGTAATTCAAAATCTAGCAAACGTATGAAAACAGTATGAAAACAGTATGAAAACAGTATGATAACAGTATGATAACAGTATGATAACAGTATGAAAACAGTATGAAAACAGTATGATAACAGTATGATAACAGTATGATAACAGTATGAAAACAGTATGAAAACAGTATGAAAACAGTATGTAAACAGTATGATAACAGTATGAAAACAGTATGAAAACAGTATGAAAACAGTATGAAAACAGTATGATAACAGTATGATAACAGTATGAAAACAGTATGTAAACAGTATGATAACAGTATGAAAACAGTATGATAACAGTATGATAACAGTATGATAACAGTATGATAACAGTATGAAAACAGTATGAAAACTGTATGAAAACAGTATGATAACAGTATGATAACAGTATGATAACAGTATGATAACAGTATGATAACAGTATGAAAACAGTATGAAAACAGTATGATAACAGTATGAAAACAGTATGAAAACAGTATGAAAACAGTATGATAACAGTATGATAACAGTATGATAACAGTATGATAACAGTATGAAAACAGTATGATAACAGTATGATAACAGTATGAAAACCGTATGAAAACAGTATGATAACAGTATGAAAACAGTATGCAAAATTATCATTATCAAAAACATCGTATGTATTTATATCTATATATCTACTTGGTCAAACTGAATTGGTTTTAAAAGAGTTCATTAAAAACAGAGAGTGCTAATTGTTAATTAAGCAGTTTGACCTAGTTTTGGTGTTTGGATTTATAATGACTCGATATATTTAATTGAAACCTTTAGAATATGTAGGAGACACCTAGTGTTAAAGTGGCACCTACGAAAAGGAATTACGAACTTTACGTAAATGTTTTAAATATTTCTGGCATTAAAAATGACTTCATTAATTATTAACATTTTGGTTTGGTCATTATATTTTTCAGCCGGAAGTAGTGACTGTACTAGACTCGGTGTTGGAATGTTTTCTGATCCAGGTTCTTGTGAGAGATTTATCATGTGTCTACCGGGAGCCTGGATGGATTATGGACCAATCAGAATGGCCTGTCCTGCTGGCACGAGATTTGACGAGAATCTGAAGATCTGTAACCATGCAGCCAGTGTGGAATGCTGGGTATAGACCAGAGTTACCTCCTATTTGATAGATTACAGTTACTTCACCCATCTTGACGACCTCGGCAATCTTTATGGACAATCCTTTCAGCAAAAAGATGCTGTTTTATTTTATAGCTTAATTTAGTGACGTGCTAAGTCTTTGGCTTTTTTACGGACGTTATTTTAGCATGATTTGTACTTACCCTGATGACCACGGCTATGTCTTTACTGACTCGCGATCAATTTGTATTACCTTACGACTGGAACTGGATTTGTGGACTACGAAATCTGACATTTGGAACTTTTATGAACTTGAACTCGGCCCGCCCACGGACAACGATTAACGAATCAGTCAAGGATACAAGTAGTCCCAATCAACCAGTTTCTTTTATCACAAAGTCAAAAGTTATTTTAAAACTGTGACGGATGGGACTCGAGATGCCGAGCTAATGTGAAATTTTGAAGGAAATACGTGCCGTGATTTCTGTGATATCAAGTTGAAATCTTGACTCCTAATTAAAAAGATGAAAACGCATCTTCTTGACTCACGCTGTGTTTACCGCTGTTTTGACGGTTATTATGTGACATTTGAAAAGCAATGTTATGACGTTATATTACGTGATACGTGACGGTTGTGATGATGCGTGACGGTTGTGACGGTATATCACGTGATATGTGGTGTTAAAAAACGTGATGCGTGACGAGTGTGACGTAATATAAAGTGAAGCGTAACTTTGTAACGTTATATTATGGGATGCGTGACATATTTCCATGACAAACTATATATTATCTATATTAACCAGTAAAATAGAATAGTGAAATAATTATGATGTTAGAATAAAATTTCAAATATCATTTGAATTATTATCTCTTCGCTTTTTTCTAATACATAAAGACACATATATCTGATTCAAACTTTATATTCATTACAAGTATCGTCATTTTATTTCATCTCATGATTGTTTTATTTCATTTTCCTTTTTTAATTCGTGTCTCGTTATTATGTTTCTTTCATTTCATACTAGTATTTTATAATTCCATCTCATTTCTCCATCTAGCAAACATCCATCTTGTATCGATGTATCATTAAGCAATCTTATATCTTGTATCTTGTATCTTGTATCCATGTATCAAACATCTATCTTGTATCTTGTATCCATGTATAATTAATCCATCTTTTATCTTGTATCGATGTATCATTAAGCCATCTTTTATCTTGTATCCATGTATAATTAATCCATCTTTCATCTTGTATCGATGTATCGTTAAGCCATACTTTATCTTGTATCGATGTATCATTAAGCCATCTTTTATCTTGTATCGATGTATCATTAAGCTATATTTCATCTTGTATCGATGTATCATTAAGCCATCTTTTATCTTGTATCGATGTATCATTAAGCTATATTTTATCTTGTATCGATGTATCATTAATCCATCTTTCATCTTGTATCGATGTATCGTTAAGCCATCTTTTATCTTGTATCGATGTATCATTAATCCATCTTTCATCTTGTATCGGTGTATCATTAAGCCATCTTTTATCTTGTATTGATGTATCATTAAGCTATATTTTATCTTGTATTGATACAGTGGAATCATAAAGATGGTATATGGAAGCCTTTCCAACTGAAAACTCGAAATCAAGAAATCTCCAAACAATTGTTAATCTTAAATATCCTAGATATTTTGTTTTGTTAATTATTTCCTGAACACAATCCTGTTGAATGAATTTTTCGAAATGACTGATGATAATTTTATGAAATTTGGTAATTATTATCCGTCTGTTATACACGACGAAATTTGATAAAATTACCAAGGAAGTTTAGACTATAATTTTAGATGTTAAAATACCGGGTATTTGACTGATATTAAAATCAGTTGTCGGATTAGGTCAGAATTCCTCGGATTAGATGATATTATAAGAGTGTTAGAAAACTTCAATAAGTTCTATGGTGGATGACAGGTCATGTTTACACTTTCAGAATACACGATATCACCCTACGACTGGCTTTATCAACGAGGAATAATAACCTTCCGGAGACTCGGTCCCATTCTAGCAGTACACACACAAAAAAAAACTTATATGTTGTCGCTCCTGCAGATAAAAACCGCTGTGTACTGTTAGATTGTAGTCTTGTTTTCGGTTCTCACAATTGGGTCTACTTGTATCCCAACGGCTGAATTTTTGTCTTTTTATTGAAAAAAAAGCTTTCATTAATGTTGTGTTATGATAAAAAAAATGATTCATTTTATATTTCTGTTCATTTTAACCTTCCTCGACATCGCAACAGATAGTTCTTCCTACTTCTTCGTGAAGTGTTCGAACCACCCTAGGACTGTAGGAAAAATCAAAATCTCTCTTCCCACTATCCAGGGTACATATACACTTTGATCTCGGTTTAATTTTCATCTCTAGTAAATGAATTAAGAAAGAGGAGGGAGGGGTGAACGAATAAAAATATATTTTGAAACGAAAAAGTTGTGTATTGTTAAAATAGACAATAATTTATGATGTAAATAGTAAATCATCTTTCAAAGATCACTTTCTAGTTTTTCTTTTCCGTCCATATCAATTCCTGCCTTTCGTCTGTTCATCACAAGCTCCTCCCTCTGTCACGATTCGTGATGGACAGATATGTTAGAAGATAAGCTCCTCCCTCTGTCACGCTTCATGAATGACAGACACGTGAGAGGCAAGCTCGCCCTACTGAGATTACTAACAACTACCGAGGATTATATAGCACGTTAAATTGTCTACCAATCAACCATGAAAACAGAAGAGTTATTACCGTTATATAGAACGTGATTATAATTAACAGATACGTTCCTCTCATATTTAGCTGATATGATTATGATTGGCACCCTCATTTAGTTTGTGTGGTTATAACTGACAGATTCGTGAGTTATAAGCTCCTCCCAATCTGGCCAGTATTTGGTTTTCATTCGTTGACAGTATTCTATTAAATTTGGGTATTTTTCTGAAAAGAGAAGAAAATCAGAGAAATTGAATGACATCAACTACATTGACTTGTGGCAAGAGTAGCTAAAATGTATTTCAATTGTAGCCTTGAAGTATCAAAGACAGTTATTGGAGGCGTGGCTTGGTGTTTGAACTGACAGCTCTTCATACGAAGCTTCTGTATAGTTCTTACTACGACTCGACCTAATAAGTCTCCGTTCTCCGGTACATAACACGGGTTCATAAAAACGATATATACTCGTTGCACAGGTTTTTTGACAAGGAGATTAGGTCATTTATTAATGTACAAGGCTCGGGTAATATTAAATCTGGTAATATTAAATCTGGTAATATTAAATCTGGCCACTAATTTCATAAATTTGATATTACACAAGTAGTCATTTAAGATCCTCTATGAATTCAAATCACAAAATATCCCGCGATAAGATGACGGCGACCACAAAGAGAAAGTTTTCTGACGCTGTAAATTTTGTTTTTAAAAGGTAAAAGCTTGCAGTTTTTCAGGCTTTATACCAGGGTGATGACTGTATCGCTGTTTTAGGGTTAGGGTTAGGGTTAGGGGTTACCAACAAGCTATGAAACAAGCTTGACTTTTCAGTTGTAATCTTGACTTTTAGAACATATGACTTATTCTACTACCCCAGACTCTATTAAAAACGGAATACGAAGTGCAATGTAATGTAGTACAGGGAGACAACCCACCTTTTATAGTTTTCTCCATGGGAGAATCTGGTGACTGCCACACTATCTGACACAACTGACCAAAAATACTACAATCAGCTTCAGTTACAAACTCACCCAGAAAATACTTTTTGTCTCCTGAATCAAAGAAATACAGTTTTATCAAAAAAAACACATAGATTTTTAGAATCATAAGTAGCAAGTACCAAGTTAAACGAAACCCGGAATCCATACAAGATATTGGTAGCAGCTAATGAACTTTTCACATAATGAAGTATATCATTATTATAAATAAGTATTTCATAATGAAAAGTGGCATTAAGTGTGTAGAAGAGTAGATAGGGTTAGAGTTAGGGTTAGGGAAGAGTAGATAGGGTTAGGGTCATACTTGCTTGCACCTGAATGACGGACATTGAAAAAAAAACATAGAAGGAAAATAACTGTCGATAGTTCTTTAATCTAGAATAAGTTGAATTGTTTCCTGCTGGGTATGGTAACCTAGACCGTGACAGTAACCTACCTAAAGTATGAGAGAGGAATCTAATATCATCTAGAATAAGTTGAATTGTTTCCTGCTGGGTATGGCGACCTAGACCGTGACAGTGACACGCCCACTTAGCTTTCTGCTCAAATATCCATAATATTATAGAATTCAGCCCAACCAGGCGAAATACTGTCTTCTTTTTGTCGTACACGGCCCTCCATAATAACAAACCCCTAAAAAAGAGAAAGTTATTCGACATTTATTGCTGACATTATAGTCTCAATTTATTAATAGTTGTGAAAACTAGTGAAAAACTAGAGTTGTCCCCCTTTTAGCGCTATAATTTGAAAAGTTTGTTCTGAGTTGGTCTCTGACTCTGTTGTTAATGGATAATTAAGTATGATAACAGTATGTCGATATTATCACGGCAGATATAGTACACTAGGTAGATGCCACACCGAATATTATTATTTGTCTATTCGTAAATTTAGACGTCTAGAACCCGGGTCATGGTCCGAGGTCAAGCTGGTTAGTTGAGGTTAAAGGTGAACCTACCAGTAAAGATGATCCTCGACTAATTTAGTAAAAGATGCTCCAATAGCTTTTTTTTCATTACTCAATCTCTCGTTTATTTTTACTGGAAACTTTTCCTTTAAATATTCTATAACGAAGTGCGAGTCTGGTATGACGTCATCATTGTATTGAATCCAGGGGGTTTTCCCTTTACTCGACATCACTCGATCATACTCGTTCTGTAAGAATCAAAGTCGAATTTATCCGGAGTTAATCTGATTCGATTTGGTCTAAAAACCACTTTTCCTGTATCAAATCAAATTTGAATATGGTAATCAGCGCATTTATTGTAGCAGCGAATCAAATCGATATACATTAATCGAGTAAATCAACTTTGGAGCGCCGTAGCTCTGTTAACTTCCGCTTTAGTAATGGCGTCCAACATGTCAAAGTTCAACTTGATCAGGAGAGGTATAGAAAATTTCTTCCTGCCTTGCCACCATCTTGGAAACTATAAATAGTATAATGTTCATTTATCCTGCAGTATAAATCAGATTCGATTTGTGACGTCATTCTGATTAGGATAATCGAATCAGATTTAAGTGCGTAAAAATGCCTCAAACGAAACGAAACGAAACGAAACGAAACGAAACGAAACGAAACGAAACGAAACGAAACGAAACGAAACGAAACGAAACGAAACGAAATGCTTACCTTATATGGAATGTTGTTTATTCTAAGAAAGGTCTCGAGTTTGATAACAAAGGGAGATAAACTAGGACAATATGGACCGGCTCCCAGTTGGTGGACAATCACAGTGTCAGTTGGATACTTCTTTCTTTTTATAGTTCTGTAATATAATACGTCATTTCCTGTTACTATTTCTCAAGAAACTAAGTTTGGATACGGGCCTTCAAGTGATTCCACTAACCCTGTGTATCAAGTATCAGGCCGATGTTTTTATTTGTAAACAAAATAAAATTCCTTCTCTAAGTAGACCGATGTCAGCTCTCAGCTCTCAATAGACGGGTGTCAGCTCTCAATAGACCGATGGCTCACAGCTCTCAATAGACCGATGGCTCACAGCTCTCAATAGACCGATGGCACACAGCTCTCAATAGAACGATGGCTCACAGCTCTCAATAGACCGATGGCTCACAGCTCTCAATAGACTGATGGCTCACAGCTCTCAATAGACCGATGGCTCACAGCTCTCAATAGACCGATGGCTCACAGCTCTCAATAGACTGATGGCTCACAGCTCTCAATAGACCGATGGCACACAGCTCTCAATAGACCGATGGCACACAGCTCTCAATAGAACGATGGCACACAGCTCTCAATAGAACGATGGCTCACAGCTCTCAATAGACTGATGGCTCACAGCTCTCAATAGACCGATGGCTCACAGCTCTCAATAGACCGATGGCTCACAGCTCTCAATAGACTGATGGCTCACAGCTCTCAATAGACCGATGGCTCACAGCTCTCAATAGACTGATGGCACACAGCTCTCAATAGAACGATGGCTCACAGCTCTCAATAGACCGATGGCACACAGCTCTCAATAGAACGATGGCTCACAGCTCTCAATAGACTGATTGCTCACAGCTCTCAATAGAACGATGGCTCACAGCTCTCAATAGACTGATTGCTCACAGCTCTCAATAGACCGATGGCTCACAGCTCTCAATAGACTGATTGCTCACAGCTCTCAATAGACCGATGGCTCACAGCTCTCAATAGAACGATTGCTCACAGCTCTCAATAGAACGATGGCTCACAGCTCTCAATAGACCGATGGCTCACAGCTCTCAATAGAACGATTGCTCACAGCTCTCAATCTAAATGACAGAATATAGACCATCGTAATTCCTCGTATAGTTATTGCTTTCACCTCAGGGAACCTCAGGGAATGTACTAATGACAAAGTTACGAAGAACAGGCACAGGGAATATAAGTTTTAAGTTATTTAATTTGAATAAACAAAATGTGTGTTGATAATTAAATGTTCGTTAATCCGGGTTCTGTGCACTTTAAACTCTGATCTTTGGATAAACATCATATTAATCAACAACAAAAAAACAGTGGAAAAATAGCATTAGAAGATGGATATTATGAAACATGGCAAGTTGAAAAAAGAAAAAGATCTATTACAGTTCTAAGTTAAGAGTTAGGGGTTAGGTCGCATGTCCTAAACGTATCGTTTTGATTCTGTCAGGCAAAGTCTCAGTAGTGACTATAATTTTCTTTCCCATTATCATTAATTCCAAGTTTAATTACCACAATTAATAAGAATGGACAGAGAGAGACTTGGTGGGTTAGTCATGTCTGAAGAATGGACAGAGAGAGACTTGGTGGGTTAGTCATGTCTGAAGAATGGACAGAGAGAGACTTGGTGGGTTAGTCATGTCTGAAGAATGGACAGAGAAAGATTTGGTGGGTTAGTCATGTCTGAAGAATGGACAGAGAGAGACTTGGTGGGTTAGTCATGTCTGAAGAATGGACAGAGAGAGACTTAGTGGGTTAGTCATGTCTGAAGAATGGACAGAGAAAGATTTGGTGGGTTAGTCATGTCTGAAGAATGGACTGAGAGAGACTTGGTGGGTTAGTCATGTCTGAAGAATGGACAGAGCGAGACTTAGTGGGTTAGTCATGTCTGAAGAATGGACTGAGAGAGACTTGGTGGGTTAGTCATGTCTGAAGAATGGACTGAGAGAGACTTGCTGGGTTAGTCTTGTCTGAAGAATGGACAGAGAGAGACTTTGTGGGTTAGTCATGTCTGAAGAATGGACAGAGAGAGACTTGGTGGGATAGTCATGTCTGAAGAATGGACAGAGAGAGACTTAGTGGATTAGCTTGACAAGGAAATGCACTGTACAGGTGTAAGATGTTATGACGTCATGATGAAGGAGACATGTCGAGAATTTTGACAGGTAATTAATTAACTTGTTGATAAACATATTTCTACTAAGTATTTTCTATTTATATACAATACAGGCAAGGTGTATGTTTTTCCCTGATACTCTGAAAGTTAAGTTTACTCCCTCGACTGTGGTTTAGTTACCATGTAAGACACAGGAACATTGTAGAATATACGGCAATGTCGTGTAAGACTCGTGAATGGCTCATGGTGAAAATTCTTAAAAACTAGAGACCCAAAACTGCCGTGAATATCGACATTTTATGTCTGGCCCTAAACCCAAGTCCCCCGCCGTGATATTCAGATGGCATACAGGAACTAGGTTTAGGTATTAGGGGGTGAGAGTCGACACCGGGCCGACCCTCGATAGCACTGGCATAGGCATCAGATATCAGGGTAAGTCCAACTGAAATTATTCTCTCATTGACCAAGTCTGAGAAGTTAAATTTTACGTCCATTCTAAGAGGTAGTATTTCTTAGTATACTATAATAATATCTTTAATACGAGAGAAATGGGGATTGACGAAACACAGGAAACTTCAATTGGATATTAAATAAAGATATTCTAAAGATATACTTCCACTTAGAATTACCAAAATATTATGATTTTTAAACTTGGTTAAAATCAGTCTTTCTTCACCAGTAGACTTACCTGGTGTTATAACTATACAACAGAATCTCTCTATAATCTAATAAATCTATAAAACTGAGTAATAATTCATTAAACTAAGTAATAATTCATTAAACTAAGTAATAATTCATTATACTAAGTAATAATTCATTACACTAAGTAATAATTCATTAAACTAAGTAATAATTCATTAAACTAAGTAATAATTCATTAAACTAAGTAATAATTCATTACACTAAGTAATAATTCATTAAACTAAGTAATAATTCACTAAACTAAGTAATAATTCAATAAACTAAGTAATAATTCATAAAACTAAGTAATAATTCAATAAACTAAGTAATAATTCATAAAACTAAGTAATTTTGAAACATGTTTAGAAGTGTATTTCAATAATTATTTAGTTTAATAGATATATCATGTTATATAGAGATTCTATTGTTTAGTTATGACACCTGGTAAGTCTAACTGATAAATATATACTCTTATTGACCAAGTTTGAGATTATAAATTTTATGTTCATACAGAGAGGTAGAGTACCTTTAAAATATATTAAACTAAGAAAAATAATATAAAAGAATCAGTGAGAGTTGGTGATGTCGATATTTTATCATCCTAAAATACATTTCATCGCCCTTTCTCCTACTCAATTAGATTATTACACTTGAACAACCAGATCATCAATATATACCGGATTATAACACGGCGCTGGATAACCGAGATGAATAACTACTATACAAGAAATAAAATGAAAGTAGATTCAAAGGTCATCCAGTGCAAGTACTGGTAGACAATAAAGAAAGTTTGAGATGGGGGCGGTATTGTTAAAATATTGAAACAGAAATATTTTAAAACACCTTATATACAATACATTACACTAAAATAGTCTTTCACCTCTTCACTGTTCTACACCTTAACAGGAATACTACCTCATACAATGAACATAGAATTTAAAATCTTTGAGTGGCATTTAGCAAATGTAAATACAATATATAGACACAGCTTTATAGAACAACAATCACTGGTTTAAGTTTTTTCTCCCGTCATCCTCAGGCACATAATGATAAGAAGTGAAGGCACATAATGATAAGAAGTGAAGGCACATAATGATAAGAAGTGAAGGCACATAATGATAAGAAGTGAAGGCACATAATGATAAGAAGTGAAGGCACATAATGATAAGAAGTGAAGGCACATAATGATAAGAAGTGAAGGCACATAATGATAAGAAGTGAAGCACATAATGATAAGAAGTGAGGCACATAATGATAAGAAGTGAAGGCACATAATGATAAGGAAGTGAAGGCACATAATGATAAGAAGTGAAGGCACATAATGATAAGAAGTGAAGGCACATAATGATAAGAAGTGAAGGAACATAATGATAAGAAGTGAAGGCACATAATGATAAGAAGTGAAGTCACATTTAAGTTTGACATCTCGACACCTCTTTCAGGGAGTCCACATAGTTAATATTGTTTATTTGGTATTTAAGTTTGACATCTCGACACCTCTTTCAGGGAGTCCACATAGTTAATATTGTTTATTTGGTATTTAAGTTTGACATCTCGACACCTCTTTCAGGGAGTGCACATAGCTAATATTGTTTATTTGGTATTTAGGTTTGACAACTCGACACCTCTTTCAGGGAGTCCACATAGTTAATATTGTTTATTTGGTATTTAAGTTTGACATCTCGACACCTCTTTCAGGGAGTCCACATAGTTAATATTGTTTATTTGGTATTTAGGTTTGACAACTCGACACCTCTTTCAGGGAGTCCACATAGTTAATATTGTTTATTTGGTATTTAAGTTTGACATCTCGACACCTCTTTCAGGGAGTCCACATAGTTAATATTGTTTATTTGGTATTAAAGTTTGACATCTCGACACCTCTTTCAGGGAGTCCACATAGTTAATATTGTTTATTTGGTATTTAGGTTTGACAACTCGACACCTCTTTCAGGGAGTCCACATAGTTAATATTGTTTATTTGGTATTTAAGTTTGACATCTCGACACCTCTTTCAGGGAGTCCACATAGTTAATATTGTTTATTTAGTATTTAAGTTTGACATCTCGACACCTCTTTCAGGGAGTCCACATAGTTAATATTGTTTATTTAGTATTTAAGTTTGACAACTCGACACCTCTTTCAGGGAGTCCACATAGTTAATATTGTTTATTTGGTATTTAAGTTTGACAACTCGACACCTCTTTCAGGGAGTCCACATAGTTAATATTGTTTATTTAGTATTTAAGTTTGACAACTCGACACCTCTTTCAGGGAGTCCACATAGTTAATATTGTTTATTTGGTATTTAAGTTTGACATCTCGACACCTCATTCAGGGAGTCCACATAGTTAATATTGTTTATTTGGTATTTAGGTTTGACAACTCGGTATGAGTTATATCATCTATAAGATATTTCAATGAAATAAACCATAAACGAGAAATATTAGATGTGAGGTCCCAGCCAGGTCAACAAACAATACACCCTCCCTGTCAACAATACACCCTCCCTGTAAATATATCATCACCCCACGCTTTAACCCCAAACAATACAATTTACACATGAAAAGAGTTAATGTGGTGTATACGTGTGAAGGGTTAAAATTAGAAGATTCGAACCTGTTTTGAATCAGCTTTAAAAGCGAAGTGAACAAATATCTCTTCTGTTTTTTTATTTTCGGTATATTTAAACAGATTGTAAAGAAGTTTTCTAATTTCTTTATGTTTATCAGGGGACAGTGATAACATCAATTTACATCATTCTAATTTTACATCTGTGGTTCCTACAATTCTACTAAAACCTGAATACCCAATAAACATGTAGACACTCTAGAAGAGATGCTGAGTTGACAAACCTGAATACCCAATAAACATGTGAACACTCTAGAAGAGATGCTGAGTTGATAAACCTGAATACCCAATAAACATGTGAACACTCTAGAAGAGATGCTGAGTTGATAAACCTGAATACCCAATAAACATATAGACACTCTAGAAGAGATACTGAGTTGACAAACCCGAATACCCAATAAACATGTGAACACTCTAGAAGAGATACTGAGTTGACAAACCTGAATACCCAATAAACATGTAGACACTCTAGAAGAGATACTGAGTTGACAAACCTGAATACCCAATAAACATGTAGACACTCTAGAAGAGATGCTGAGTTGACAAACCTGAATACCCAATAAACATGTAGACACTCTAGAAGAGATGCTGAGTTGACAAACCTGAATACCCAATAAACATGTAACACTCTAGAAGAGATGCTGAGTTGACAAACCTGAATACCCAATAAACATGTGAACACTCTAGAAGAGATACTGAGTTGACAAACCTGAATACCCAATAAACATGTAGACACTCTAGAAGAGATGCTGAGTTGATAAACCTGAATACCCAATAAACATGTGAACACTCTAGAAGAGATGCTGAGTTGACAAACCTGAATACCCAATAAACATGTGAACACTCTAGAAGAGATGCTGAGTTGATAAACCTGAATATCCAATAAACATGTAGACACTCTAGAAGAGATGCTGAGTTGACAAACCTGAATACCCAATTAACATGTAGACACTCTAGAAGAGATGCTGAGTTGATAAACCTGAATACCCAATAAACATGTAGACACTCTAGAAGAGATGCTGAGTTGACAAACCTGAATACCCAATAAACATGTAGACACTCTAGAAGAGATGCTGAGTTGACAAACCTGAATACCCAATAAACATGTGAACACTCTAGAAGAGATGCTGAGTTGATAAACCTGAATACCCAATAAACATGTGAACACTCTAGAAGAGATGCTGGGTTGATAAACCTGAATACCCAATAAACATGTAGACACTCTAGAAGAGATGCTGAGTTGATAAACCTGAATACCCAATAAACATGTAGACACTCTAGAAGAGAGGCTGAGTTGATAAACCTGAATACCCAATAAACATGTGAACACTCTAGAAGAGAGGCTGAGTTGATAAACCTGAATACCCAATAAACATGTGAACACTCTAGAAGAGATGCTGAATTGATAAACCTGAATACCCAATAAACATGTAGACACTCTAGAAGAGATGCTGAGTTGACAAACCTGAATACCAAATAAACATGTAGACACTCTAGAAGAGATGCTGAGTTGATAAACCTGAATACCCAATAAACATGTAGACACTCTAGAAGAGATACTGAGTTGACAAACCTGAATACCCAATGAACATGTGAACACTCTAGAGGAGATGCTGAGTTGACAAACGTAATACCCAATAAACATGTAGACACTCTAGAAGAGATGCTGAGTTGACAAACCTGAATACCCAATGAACATGTGAACACTCTAGAAGAGATGCTCAGTTGACAAACCTGAATACCCAATGAACATTTGAACACTCTAGAAGAGATGCTCAGTTGACAAACCTGAATACCCAATGAACATGTGAACACTCTAGAAGAGATGCTGAGTTGACAAACGTAATACCCAATAAACTTGTGAACTCTCTGCAAAGATGAGGTTATTTGCCATATTCCATTTGTGGAGTGGTGTCAGGCGTCCTTAAAAAAAAGAAAGCATGCCCAGTTAGCATCATTTAGGACAGTAATTATTTAAGTGGATCTCTTACCTGGAGATATATTTTCTATAAGCTAATCCTAATACCATCACTAATCCGATAACTACAGAAAGAATTATCGTTAAATCCATTCTAATTACTCATTAATCCTGTAATCCGTGAGTTAATTCTCTCAGTGTGATACTGGTGTATCAAGTTATGCCTCTGAGTGTATCAAGTTTCTTGTCGACACGAGTCGAAATGTTATTATACATATAAACACCCAACTTTCTCTATCGACGGCTATAAAACCATCAAGCGAGACGGGGGTCAGTCTATTTTTAATTCAAGGGATGTCAACGCTATAAATCGTGACATTTCTTTGCTAATAGAGAAGCAATGGAAGGTGACCCACCCTGTATCTAAACTTGTTAAACCTGACTGTGGTAGAAATAAACTACTAATTGATCTTGGTGGGTTTAATTGATCTATTTATAGCACAGATCGACCAGTCCTGTTTACCACGAGAATCTACTGTACTCATTAACCTCGGCTACAGCCAGAATGAATGAATGAATGAATGAATGAATGAATGAATGAATGAATGAATGAATGAATGAATGAATGAATGAATGAATGAATGAATGAATGAATGAATGAATGAATGAATGAATGAATGAATGAATTGACCACCAGAAAAAAAAAACAAAATCGTCCATTAACATTCACTAAATTGACTTACAGAAGGTTGTCAGAATGAAGGAGAGCGTATATGTTTCCTAGGCAGAGAGATCTCAACCCATTGAAGTCTTAGGACACATCTAGGTGGGCCACTAGACGGTTGTACGTAGTGAGGACGGTGGTACGTAGGAAGGACGGTGGTACGTAGTGAGGACTGTGGTACGTAGTGAGGACGGTGGTACGTAGTGAGGACGGTGGTACGTAGTAAGGACGGTGGTACGTAGTGAGGACGGTGGTACATAGTGAGGACGGTGGTACATAGTGAGGACGGTGGTACGTAGTGAGGACGGTGGTACGTAGTGAGGACGGTGGTACGTAGTAAGGACGGTGGTACATAGTGAGGACGGTGGTACATAGTGAGGACGGTGGTACGTAGTGAGGACGGTGGTACATAGTGAGGACGGTGGTACATAGTGAGGACGGTGGTACGTAGTGAGGACGGTGGTACGTAGTAAGGACGGTGGTACGTAGTGAGGACGGTGGTACATAGTGAGGAAGAAATCGTAAGAGGTAGTAGATGAATAAGAGTGATATGAATGAAGATCTTATTTTTGCATCTAATTGGGCTAATGAAGAAGGGGAAGGCAATTCAGTGTACAATGGGGACAGCAGCATTAGCCTGCTCTTTTTCGATTTCCAATTGTCGAGGGATCTTTAACGTGTACAGTCTGTAGCACACGGGGACTCGGGAAAACTGGAGGCAGAAGCGGTAATCGAATGAGGTCTGACACTGTGTACATTGTCTGTAGAATTCTCATATATTGAGTGGTACAATTTTAACCTCCCTACAATGTTTCGAATTACAGTATATTCCCAAGATTAAAATTGAATTTATAACAAATTTTATAAGTAGTCTGAGTGGTCTAATAAGACTGAGTGAATTATCTCCCTTGAAATTAAGTATATAATATAATATAATTATTTAAAAGTAAAATAAAGATTCGGTGGCAATTCAAAATGTTTCTATTGTAGACTTTAGATGGATCTCACCAATATTGTTTAAAATAATAAAATATTACTCATATTGTAAAATAGATAATTATATGATATTTCTAGATTTGACGAACGTTTTCATGAAATATATTCAATTTAATTTGATTCACAGAACGTCGTAATAAATTATAAGTTTGGCTAATCATAGACACCCTAATATTAAACCTTGAATTTGCTTTCGTAATTTCAGTTATTGTTTTTATAACCACTTTCACCTGGAAGGAGATATCCCAGATTGAAATGAATTGAATAGCAACGTATGTCCTTCTCTTCTTCACCTTATTTAGGCTAATGAAGACGGCGAACGCCATGCCGTATGTAATGAGGGAAATTTTACCAGAACAGCGACATTAGACTACTCTGTTCTGATTTCCAACTGTGGAGGGATTTTTAACGTGCACAACCTCGGTTTATTGTCCCATCCGACTGACTGGACGTATTCATTATTCAATAAACAGATTAGACCCAAACATCTGTCTCTATTCTAACCTCTGATAGTTATTAAGACAGATGTCAGCTGGTGCAGTGACAGAAAAAATAAGCCCTATTAAATGGGGATTTTAAACTTATTTAGATACCTGGGATTTGCAATACCATCATTTTCTCCCTATAACATGTAATCCACGTCTACAGATCCATCAAAGTTTTTTTTTATTGAAACCTTTATGTGTCTGTCCTTAGAGTCTGCGAAGTCAACGGGTCACGTGACGCTAACAAAACGAAAGTAGCGGTGATCAATATTAAATTATTTAAAACCAGTTTCATATTCATCTTTCTAAATATCATCTTATACGGGTTAGGCCGATCCGAGGTATCCAAATAAGTTTATATCCCCTGCACCTGCAGAGATTCGGAATGTCTCCATTTAACAGAGCCTATTTTTTCTGTCTCTACACCAGCTGACATCTGTCAAAATAACTATTAGACGGTAGAGACAGATGTTTGGGTTTATAAAGAGATTAGCGACAATATACATAATAATCATATATTAAATCGTTTTCTTATCTACGAACTGCACGGCCGATAATATATCATGTAAATATTATATTGTTAACAGTGACTCAACCAGGTGAATGGGGCTTGGACTTATAAGCAGTCCCCCCCCCCCCCCTTCCCCTTCCCGCCCCCATGGGCTTAGGGTTACTTCCCAGGAAATTTTGTTTTAACATTAAGCTGTCCTGTATTTTGAAACCCCTGTATAAGTCAAGTTATTGTCTGTTAATGAAAGATATAAAGGTTTTTAGTCTATAGTTTATTTCATTTTAACATATAAATATTACTGATTCTTATTTTGAATAATAGTAGACCTAAACTACAGTAAACAATGAATTGTATTTTTTCTAGAGTAGTGTGAGGGGGTGGGGCGGGGTAGGTGCCCGTAGTCGATCCACTGATTATTCTCGTCACACGTCTTGTTGTGGAGATTGCGGCCTGTAGGCTACAAATTTAAAAAATATATTATTTTTGTAAAGATTGTTGTCCATACAATTTAAATGGGTCCGTATTTTGGTGAAGATGGCGCACCATAAAGTCGAGTTTTCTTTTAAGAAGTTAAAATTGTGATTCTCAGCCGTCTGCCTTGAGATTTTGGAGATATTGTGTTTTTACTTAAAAATCGAGTGTTTTATTATCAAAACGAAGGTAAGTTTTATTTTTTAGTGTATTTCATCAATAGCCCTGATCTTGGGTAAACTTTCTGCCCGTCCTTGAGGTAAAATTGGCGATATTTTGATTAAAAGAGGAAATATCTTTGTTGTGATGAGAAGGAACGGTGTTGTCAGCTGTAGAGACTGGTAGTTATTATAGACTAGTAGCCGACAACTAACTTCTAGGCCTAGGTACAGCAGTAGTTTGTCGATCTTGCCAACTCAATATTTGGAGTGTTTGACATGTCGGGATAATGTCATATTGTCTGTGTATACACTATAGGCATACCTTGTTGTGATAGTTCTATTTTCATATTTATAAAATTATGGCGGGTGGTAGACCCTATTTGTGTAAGATAATTCAAGAAATTTAGAAACACATTTAGGAAGAGAACATGTCAGTCCTGTAGCCAGACTTGATTGTTCAGAGGGAAAACGATTATAGTGTTTAGTCGCAGTACCTGGTATCCATTTTTTCAAAGTGGGGGGGTCTGGGGCATTGCTCCTGTAGCTACTGACCTGGAGCATGTTATCCTCACTCGCCTCATGAGTAAAGACTACACCTAATGTTGACTTTATACAGTAAAGAACTCTTACAAGTCTAATAATATTCTTAAAGGGGAACAGTCAGTATTTTCAGGGATTGATTTAGGTCTTTATTGTTCTTTAATAGTCTTAAGAAGTACTGAAAAGCATGAAAATTACATAATCTCTTCAAATATACCTCAAACTAGAAATTTCACTGTCTATTCCTGTAATTCGTTTCTATATATAGCATAGTCTCACTAAAATTTGAGTTAAATTTTTAACTTTCAAACGTGAATAATTATAGATACACATGGATTTGTAGGCTCAAATTTGGACGATGAACTGTGAACCCTATTACTGATTATGTAAGCTGAAAAAATTCCTGTTTCTGAAACTAAGGTATGATTGGTCGAACAGATAGTGAAGGTGCTCCTTTAACAAAGTGCTAAAGGCAGCTGTAAGCTTACTCTATTCAACTAAAATTCAAACAACAGCTGAAA